AGACCTGAACTCTTGCTGAAACAGATAAATCAGAGTGCTGTGTTTCTGCTATGTATAAAGTATAAGAACATAGCAAATTAAAGCACTGTTAGTCGTGAAGCAGAAAAAAATAACGATTAAAATTTGAAAGATAAAGATAGAATTTTATTTACTAGAGTTGTAAATACCAGTTTAAAACCACAGGGCAAAATTAATTATGCTATGTGACAACTTTGGCATATTAACATAATTTGTAATTCTACTTACTCTTCTGTCAAATTCACCCAATTTTGTTCTCCCAAAATCTAGCTCTATAAAAAAATTTAAAAGCTCTCTGATGTAGTAAGTCTGTTTTTAAATTTTGGATAGACCCTTGAGATATGTCTTTTGTTGTTTTTGTAGATTTTTTTTAAAACAAAATATATATGTATTTGATATACTGTACACATACCAGGTTAATCAAATACAGCCATTTCTAAAACAACTGTATAAGAGATACTAATTACTGGATGAAAACATGGCAATCAATTTTGATAAAAATTATAACTTATCTGAAAAATTATCCTTTTATAAAACTTCTTTAGGTTTAAAGAATGTAGACAAACTACCAAACCAATTTCAATAATTTCATGTCATTTTAGATAATGGGTCATAATTACATCCATTTTTCTCTTTCAGCATATCCTTTACTCCTAAACTTCCAAGATAAAATACTGTATTATGAATAGTTTTTAAGAGGGCACATATGGCAGACTACATAGCCATATAAGTTTTTTTGTTTTGTTTGTTTTGCTTTTTAGCTAATTACTAGAACTATTTAAATTAAACTAAGGATTTGAGCATAAGAATCCAATAAGGAAGTAAATATTCAAACTTTAGTGCATCAGACTTTCAAAGCAGGTAAAAATTCCATGCATATAATATATACTATTTATATTATAATTGCAGAAGACCATCAAAATACAAGTGGTGTAAATACTGGTCTATACAGTTTTTACTGGACCAAGTGAATCTATAATTGCAATAATTTTAAATAATAATCCATGTATCTCTTTCCAGAAATTCTTAACCAAAAATTTCTAATCTTTTTCCATTCCACCCCTGACCAACCAGCCAAGCCATTGGTCATTGTTTATGGCACACACACACACACACACACACACACACACACACACACACCTTTCCACACAAAGTGAATGGCCAATTTAACCACTGTGTCTCTGGCCACATGGTCACTTGATAGTCTCTGGTCAGATATTAGTCTCTATCAAGGCCCAGAAGTATGGTGCGACCCCAGGATCTACCATGTATGGACTTGGAACAGTACTCCATTGCATTACCCATACACCCCACCAGGGCAGGGTGGTGGTGGAGGATGCTGTTTTTATACTGTGATAATGCTTTACTTGTTAATGAGTTATTTTGACAGATAAAATGTTCTTTAGAGTGTCATTTATTAAACCTAAATGACTAAAAGAAGATATGATTAAAATCTATGAAAACATAAACATTTACTTAAGCAAAATCCTGAAAAAATAGAAGGCAGAAAAAAAACACCTGTTGCTTGAAAAAAAAACAACAAAAATAACCACAGATTAAAAATAACTACCATTTTAGAGGCAACAAACATATGTCAGATTTTACATCTAATTAATTATCTAAATCTCACAATAATTCCATGAAATAGGAATGACCATCTTTATTTTATAGATAAAGAGACTAAACTTCTCAGTTGCTTGTAGCTAGTAAGTGGCAGAGCCTACATTGAAACTCAGGACTTACTGAAATAACCACTGGATTTTGATTAAAAGTTTATTAAAATTAATATGCTGCAAATCTGGTACAGGATAAAATTCAGGAAGGATTTATAAGATTTTGGAAAAACTTGATTTGAGACTATGAGTCTCACTAATATAAAATATAATATTTGGCAGTGTGTGCCAAGTTCCTGAAGTCATCAGCAGAGGAGAAAGTCATGATGCTTTATAAGATGCCACTTGATATTTCTATCAGAGACTCCATAGATGAATCAGGCCATGGGTTTGACTGAGTGTGGCCAAGTAGTAGTCGGCCTAGTATGATAACTTTCAAATAATAGCAAACAAATATATATGCATTTAAAATAAATAAGTACAGACATCTTAGAAATATCTTAAAAGAATGATAAGATTTACTTATTTTCTTTTCTGACATACGTTAGACTAATTGGCATACACTATGTTATACTTCAGTTTAGAAAATTGGCATATCCAGTACTAAAAATCTACATATTTTTATCCTAAAATCCTAAAAATGATATGGAGTAAATACCTCTTTTTATTACCTTTCTTACAGATGAAGGAACTGAATCACAAAAATATTAAAATCTTTTCCATGTATATACAGGTAGTGAATGGCACAGCCGGGACTCAAAATCAAATTGCCTGACTGTAAATCATCCAGCTATATTAGATCACAAAATATACTAGATGAGGAGAAAAAAATATGCTCAACTCACCACTAACCAAGCATTTTATTCCATATAAAAAAGTCCTTGGGTAATAGTAATACCATCTGGTCAGCTTCTACTTTTCACACACACACACACACACACACACACACACACACACACACACACACACGTCAACCCAACACTCCTTTCCTCAGGCCACCACCAACCACAGGACAACCGGACATCTAACACATGCTTACAAAAGAATGCAGCAGCAGTGGTTTAGCTGGAAAACTTAGTCAGAATATTGCTTCCTAAGGAATGTGAAACATCAACCTAGTGAAGACTTGGGCTTCTATTTGGAGTATGATGCAAATGAGAAATCAGCAGAGAAGAGCTGAAGACAACTCCAGTCATCCACAGTAGAAAAGTAGGAGAATGGATTCATCTGGGCTGTGCTTTCCCAGGAAGCGCTGAGTGATAATCCAGCCCTGAGCTCTTTTCTTTGCGTGGCTCCAGGTATGTCTTGAAGTTTCTTGTCTTGTGGTAACATCACTCCAATCTCTGTCTTCATCTTCACATTGCTTCTTCTCTTTGTGTTTGTGTGTCTCTGCTCTGCATGTCTCTTACAGGGGTATTTGTAGTGGATTTAGGGCCCATTCAGATAATCCAGGGTGATCAATTCTCAAAATCCTTAATTACATCATTAAAGTCACATCTTTTTATTCATAGGGTGATATTCATGGGTTCAAGCTATTAGAATGTGCATGTATAGTTTTCAGAGATAACCATTCACCCTAGAATGCTAGGGAAATATATTATTTACATTAATATCTACTATATTTCTACACAAAATGTACAGAATACTGACTGAGGCTTGTCCTCTGGGGAAAATTCACAAAAGATGAGAAAGTCAATAACTGCTATTTCTTTCTTTCACATGTACACTTGGCTCCAGTTTTTGCACGCTCTTAATTGCTCCTGATGCCTTCAGTGGGTTGTATTCATTTTTGTTTTAATAATTTGTCCAAAATTTATAGTTGTAATCTGTGGTAGGTTTCATCAGATAGGAGCTATTCCTCTATTACTGGAAGACAAAAGTCTCTAAACCCATTTAATTTGACTCTTGATACTCAGATTGTTGTCTGTTTGACAACACCATCAGAAGCCCCTATGGGATTGCTACAAAGGTAGACTCTCAGTCCTTATTCCAGGGTGACTGCAACAAAATCTGCAGTTTAACCAGGTTACCAGTTGAATCTTGGCATATTAAAGTTTGATTGCTATTATTCACTAAAATATACTTTCTCAAATTTACAAACACTTTCTATAACAGTAATTATTGTTCTCAATCTAACTTGAAGAAAAAAGAGGAAAATTTGTTATGTCTGCATGTACCAGGAGAGTTAAGGAAAATCTGGAAAATGGGAAAAAATTTAGGTCATTACAGATTATGTATTGTTTGTTGTCACAGAGTAATTTGAACTAATTATTGTGTCTCCAGGCTATTTAAATGTTTTCCTCATTACATATATTTTAAGATTTTTAATCTTAATGTTTTAAGATTTTCAATCTATAAACACATTAGCGGGTTGAAATTAACTATTATTACAAAGACTCCTAGAGTTTTCAACTTAGAAACAACCTTGGAATGACTTTATTAGCAGTTTATAAAGCAATATAGAACTTTTTAAAGCATAACTGTGATTTTAT